CCACATCACATGGACTACCCCCCTGCAGGGCCCACAGCCCCCCTGACAGGGCCACAGATCCCCCACAGGGCCCACAGCCATCCCCCCCCCGCAGGGCTGACATCTTGCTCCTGCAGCAGCAGCAGCCTTTGACACTCAGGGCCCACAGCTGACAAACCCCCCCCATTCCAGAGGTGCAGCGTGGCCCCAGCCACCTCAGATCTGTATTTTCAGGTGTCAAATTTTGAGCCCGTGCTGCAAATATTTAGCAAGGGAAACACTTTTTTGTTCCCAGCATGCCTCTTGCGGCCTCTCAAGAGGCATACGCAGGCTCTTTGGGATGTGCCCATTGTAGCTAAGTGACTCAGTTCCACTGAGAGACATTTTGCCCTTATTTTAATTGTATAGTACAGCATACCAATGGCTATGTTGTGCCAGTGTCATCATAATGCACAGATGACATGCTCAATACACTACTGTTGTTGCAAAACTACCGTTGTGGGGCAAAGTGGGACATGGAAGTAACAGAAACTAATAGTTTCTGCACTCAGAGAAAAAGAGGTATCAGTATTTACTGTGAGCAGCTCTTTTAACTATGCACTTGTATCTGCACTGAGGTGCAAGTGCACAGGGTTAGCTCCCAATCTATCTCAATAGATATATGAAATCTCTCTCAAACATTTGAACATGTTAATATGAAAGAAATATTTTAAGTTCACTAACCATGTTTATCATGCTGGACACAAAAGTGTGCTTGAGTTTATGGAGGCTAAGGTAGTATCCTCAAACAGGGCTTAAAAGTGCCAATTACTTGGGGAAATAATTAGAGGAATGGAGGGATGGTATTATTCTGCTGTGCACCTCCACCAGGACTTTCAGCTAAATCTCAACTACAGTGCTAAATTCTGCCTTCACTTTCAGTTGTGCTGAAGATAGGTGTTTGCTTTCCAAATCTTTATGACTGTTGATGAGCAGACAAGAATGTTCTTCACCTTTCAGCTCTGCAGCTGAGTTTTCAAGCTGACAGATACAAAACTATCATTTTTCTTGTAAATGAAACAATGTTGATGTGTACTCAAAGCAATACACACAACCTGGATTCTTTTTCTTCCTATCACTTGTTGGATACAACATATGATCAAGCTATAATGGGAGAGGGTGATGGGACAATATAAGAATTCTGAAGTCATCTGACTTATTTTTACTTACCTAGTAGTATTAATATACATGCCAAAACAGCAACTAAGGCTTCTGTGCTGAGACCCATGGCATACATGAAAGCTCCATATTGACAGAACAGGGCATTAGCTTCATTATCACAGTCACAGACAGTGACAGTTAGAGTATTTGTGCTGGTAAGTGATGGGGCTCCATTGTCCGCAATTAAGATAGGCAAGTAGAAAGCAAGCTGTTCTTGTTTACTGAAGCCATTTTGAACTGTAAGAATTCCAGCTGTGTTATCTAAAGGATGAAGTATACACATTAGATATGTATATTAACAGCATAGTAAAAAACTGTGTCATTAAAGGATATGTTCATTGCACAGTTAACCTAGGTTCTAATTTAGGTATTAGTCCATTCACAATCATTCATACAAACACCTCCAACCCACTTTTGGAAGTACATTCTTCCTGAGCTGATTTACTTACTTTAGAATGTGGATTATGGCTCAAGTTAAAACATTGCTCAGACTAGACCATATCACTCTGTAGTGAGGACACAAGCAAGCATTCAAACACTGATAATTGTCCAATCTTTTTCCTACAAATCCTTCCAGAAGAGACTTATTCTCACACAGCTGACACAACTGACTGAAGTGAAGTCACTTTTTATAAAGAACCACGCTGATATGTCCTTGGGCAACACAGAAATATGGGTAGCACTTGTATGCAGGCTAATTTAACCTGGATGGTCAGACTTCAGTGCCAATCACGTATGTTAAATCTGAAGTGTAGATATATGTTGAGAGAGACAGGAAAGAGTAAAAGAGTATAGCAGAGGAACATAACTTCTGTAAAGGAGTTAAAAAGACAGGTAAAATGAGCTGGACATGACATTTAAGTTACTGATAAGTTACAAAAACATCAGGCACCATACAGAATGCAAAGAGACTTCAGAGGACAAGTCTTAGGCTTATTTGTATTTGTTTCCTTGTTTATTTACTTAGTTGGTTATTGGTTCTGGTTTTTGGGAGGAAGTAAGTTTTATTTTGTTTTGTTTATTTTCCTCTATATGTTTTTTTTCACAATGTTATTGTAATTGAAAATGCAAGATAAGCTAAACCCAGAGCCATTTTTTTTTATCCTTCTGAACTTTGGTGTTTGGGTTCAGGAGGTCTAAAGACATCCCCACTTCAGATTGGTAATACCAGATTTTTTCTAAGTTTGAAAAAACAATTATATTTATTCGTTAGCACATTTTATTGATGTGGTCTTACTGTGTGGAAGATGTTTTGCACTAAGATTCAATGTAACTGCACATGAAGTATGTCATAGAGGAAGACAGAATTTGACCAAGAACTTCTGTTTTTAATGTTCAGATGTAAATGGGGGTGAGGGGGGAACCCTCAAGTCAGCTGCCATCCTATCCAGATGTTTGCAGATGATATTATACCTCTCAACAATCAAGAGGCTCAAAATTTCAAAGATGGCTTCTTAGTGGTTTGAGTGGGGAGTTCCTTAAATTTGTCTTTGAATAATTACTATCTCAAATTAGGAGCCACCTGTGCTCCTGCAATTTCAACTGGGAGCAGAGCCAGAGACCCTTCACCTTTGCTTTATATTTAAATATTGTCATTTAAAAATTAGCATAGATCCTTCATGAACCAACTTGACCCAACAGGTACTGCAGATTTAACTCATGCTGCTTGACTGCTCATTCACATTAAACACATATTTTAGGTATAAGCTTCTTGGGAAATATGCATAATGCAAAATTAACATTTGCATAAATGTGTGTAATGCAATGTAGGGGTAGGTGGGAAATGAAAAATAGTACAATTAAGATTTTTAAGCACTACCCAGAAACAAATTATGTGTGTTTATGTGTGTATGTCTATAAGAGGTCTACAATTAGCCTTTTCCTTATCATTGTGTAGCAAAACCCCCAGTTTTTCTTTTTTTTTCTTAAATCAGATTCAAGGATTTTCATTGAATATGTCCATTACCTATCAT